GCCCTAGTCCCCTCGGTCGGTGGCCGTTGGCGAGTCGTCGAGGCGGCGGGCGGGCGGTGGGCAAAGGCCGCGGCCAAGAGCTGGCCACCGAGCAAGCAACGAGCGAGGCAAGCGAGGGACAGGCAGGGCACAGGCAGGCAGGCAGGCAGGCAGGCAAGGGCAAGCCACGCGCCCGGCACCACCCTCTTTTCCTGCTGCCTGCCTGCCGACCCCTGCCCGCCAGAGCTTGACCTGGTCTCTGCTTGGGCCCGCCTAGCCCCCTCTTTCTTGGGAGCGCCTACCTCGTCGTCGTGCTTGCCACCCACACCATCGGCCCCCATCCGGTTCGCCGCCACCCTATCCTCCCCGGCCCTCACCACCATCACATCACCGACCGCGACCGCGATCCCGCCCACGCCCACGCCTGCGAGAAACCGACTGGCCCGCCATCCCTCGCCGCCCCGCGTGCGACCACCGACCGACGTCGGCCTACGCTCTCTGATCCATTCACCGTGTGGCCGTCGCCTTCGTTCGTGTCGCTCCTTCTACCGGCCAATCCACGCAGTCCAACGCCTTGCCTTGTCCTTCCTTGCCTTGCCTTGCCTTGCCTCTCTTCGCCTCGCTGCCTCGCCTCGCCTCATCTCGCACTGCACCCACACCTTGCCACCCTATCCATCCCGCATCTGAGCCACGGCCCATACGACGTCCCCGCCTCGCCGTCAGCAACACCCAACTTGCTAGACCTGGTACGGCCAGTTCTGCTCTCCAGCCGCCTCCAAAGTACCGTCGCGTTGTCCGTCACAGCCACGACCGGGGTCTGCACCTGCCGGCATCACCTCTTGCTCGCTGCATCCGCTATACCAGCCAACAGCAACGCCCCATCCCTCTTCGGATCATCCCTCTGGAAGGCTCGCAGTGCGCATTAGATCCGGCCGCTCGTCGTCGCCCCCGCATCGCTCTCTGCCCAGGTGCTTTCCTCGGCGCTTGCTCTGCACCAATAGCTCGACAGCGCCGTGCTGTTTCGCGACTGTTCAAACCCCCCTCTCGCCCCACCACCGAGGCCCATCGTGAGTAGCCAGACGTACCGGCGGCATCATGCCGGCGCCCTGGAACGACACGACCGGCATTGTCCTCGACGAGTCTGCCTTTCCCATCGCCGGCAACCTCTCGATAGACCACCTGGCAAAGGCGGCACGCCGAAGCGCTAGTCTGCGCTGCGGAAGGGCAAACTGCGACGGCGCAGCGTGTCCTGCACCTCGTCCAGGCGTACCTCGTCCGTACCGTATGTTGATCGCCGCGTTCGCCCTCTTTTCTCCGTCCCATACCTTGCCCGCAGCGCTTAACCTGCAGCGTCCCGACATAGAAAGCAAGCAAGCGAGCAAGCTACGGTCGAGCGAGCTCTGCAGTGCCACTGTGGTTCTCCCGTGTAGGACGGCCAATCTTGCTCGCCGTCGCGCCTCGAGAAGCAGCAGCGGCAGCAGCAGCAGCAGCACCGGCCAAGGTGGCGGCTAGAGCGCCGTAGTCCAACGGGTCACTCACATCCGTTTTGGATGCACGGCAGCGTGCCTTGACAATGGCAGCAACAGCCTCGCGATATCGCGAGCCTGGCTTCGACGAGTCCTACCGCGGCCTAGCTTCTGGGTCCGCGGTGTCGAGGCTGGCACCACAGGTCCAAGCTGCTTCCGGGCATCACCCGCACATGGACGAGGTCGACGATACCTTTTTCGAGGCCGAGCAGAACATGGACCACGGCGAGGGCGCGTCGCTGCCCTCGAGCAGGCAGCATCCCTTTGCCACCGCCATGTCGCCCGTCGACTACGACGAGGAAGACGACGGCGCCTACGCCGCGCCCGAAGAGCACGTCGTCGCGCTCCACGACTTTGCCTCGTCCAACGCCACCTGCCTGTCGTTTACCGCCGGCCAGGTGATCAAGGTCTTTAACCGCGACAGCTCCGGCTGGTGGGACGGCGAGCTCGACGGCGAACGCGGCTGGTTCCCGAGCAACTATGTCGATCAGGAGGGCGTCTACATGGGCAGCACCAGCGTCGAGGCCGATCCCCACGACGGGTCGGTGGGCGTGGCGGGCTACGCTGACCACGCCGGGGCAGAGGGGTACGGCGGCGGCGCGGGCGGCAGCAGCTACGATGCTCGTTACTCGTCGCGTTCGTCGCCGACCGAGGCGGAACGCTACTACGACCCAATGGCCCCGTCGCGCTCCGTGACGCCGACCTCGGCGTCTTGGGCCGACCACGGCAACGCAGGCGTGCTCGATCCGATCCTCCACGCCATCGCGCTCCTGCACAACGCGGTGAGGGCGAACCGCGTCGCCCACTTCCAGCCCTCGACCGCCTGCGTCATCTCCTCGGTCCGGTCCGTGCTGTCGGCCACCGACTGCCTCACGCGCGAGTCGCCGGTGCTCAAGGCGCATCCTCCGCTGGCCAAGGAGCGCAAGGCGATCCTGTCCGAGCTCAGCCGGCTGGTGGCCCAGGCCCGCAAGGCGTCGGCGCCCATGGTCGACGAGACGCTGCGCGACCACGAGATGGACGCCATGCTGCAGATGGCGGAGCACGTGCTCAATAACGTCCGCCGCTTCCTCCAGGTCGCCGTCGAGTGCGACGTCGCAGTGCCGGAGCGGCGCTCCTCGGTCTACGACGACCTGTATACCGACGAGCCCCGGATGCTGACCGGCGCGCGCAGCCGTATGGCCCAGGAACGGCGTGAGCAGGACAAGACGCCGACGCCGGATTCGGCCGGCCGCCTCTCTGCCGCAGGCCACCACGCGTCTGCATCGGCACAGTACCCGCCGAGGGTGGCCAAGAGCCACGGCGACCTCCGCAAGATGATGCACTTTTCCCGCCGCAAAGGGTCCGACCCTTCGAGCGAGGAGAGTTTCGAGGCCGATGCCGTCGCCAACGCGCGCTCGGCTTCCCACAACCGGCTGGTGGCCGGGAGCCGGGATGCCGTCCGTCCCCGGACCGACTCGAGCTCCGACTCTCCCGACTCTGCCTCCGGCTACGAGGGCGTCGCATCGCGCAGCGACTCGGCCGACTCGATGACCGAGGTCGGCCCTGTGGAGAGGTATCCTCAGGAGGTGATGCGCCGCCTCAGCCTCGCCAACGACCAGTTGCTGTCGACGATAGCCGCCTTCATCGGCCACGCCCACACCCATACTGCAGAGAGCCACGCGTCGAGCTACGCCCGCCTGATCGACATGACGCGCGAGGCGGTGGACGGCGTGCGCAACCTGCTGCTCGTCGTCGAGGCGGTCAACAACAATGCCACGCTCCAGGCCCAGCGGCCGCGAGAGACGGCGATCCTGTGGGAGACCCGCGAAAGCCTGTACGAGGCGACTACGGTGCTCGTGACGGCGGCTCGCGTCATCACATCGGCTCCCTCCGCGGCTGCGGCGGCCGCGTCCGGCCCAGCCACCGATACCGAAGACAAGTCTCGACTGCTGCAGGCGGCCACGGGCGTGCTCCGCACCGGCGGCGAGTGCGTCGGAGCGGTCCGCCTCTGCCTCGACAAGCTCGATCCCTCGGTCACGATCGCCCTCTCCGAGCCGAGCCGACCCAGCTCGGGGCGCACTGCAGGATCGGCTCCACGTCGCAGCAGTCGGCGCGCACCCGACGCCCCGACCAGCAACCACAGCGAAGCGGGCGACGACGCAGCCGACGGCAGAGGAGACGACGATGGCGATCGTCAAGGGACTTCCACGGGCATCCGGAGAGGGACCCACACGCTGTCGTTCCTGGGCAGGAAGGCTACCAGCTTGACCTGCCTCAAGGAAAAGTACGAGAGGGATGGCTACGTGGACCGCTTCGACAGCGTCACGGAAGACTACCTCGACGAGGAGGAGCGGGAGAGCGAGGCCGATGTCGCCGACGCGATGTCGGCGGCGACCAAGCCGGTGCCCTCGGGCGATGGCGGCTCTGCCGCGGCGACGGCGTCTTCGAGGCGGAGTCGCCGCACCGACAGCCAACGGGAGCTGCGCCTCGACGCTGCGACCGGGGCGTTGCTGGCGATGCCGGGCAACGGCCCGCGGCGTCGGAGCCGCGCAGGATGCTTGGCATCGACGACGTCACGAGCGACTCGACGAGCGAGCCCATGTCTCGCGAGCACTCGCGGACGTCGGGCTCGACGCTCCAGTCGGGCCGGTCCGACTACACGGCCGACACCTCGGCCCGTCCTTCGCTCGACTTCAGCAACGCCTCGGAAGGCGGCCTGGCGTCCGGTTCGATCCAGGGCAGCTTCAGCCGCGATCGCGACCTGACCCGACAGCTGGGCCCCATCTCGACGAGGCGCGCCAGCGAGGCGCCGGCGAGGTCGGCGACGCTCGTCAGCCCTACGAGGTCCGTGGCCGGCGGCGCTGCCGGCAAGCAGGTGCAGGTGCAGGTGCAGGGCCAGGGGCAGCTCCGCGCGCGCGCCGGGACTGTCTCGGGCATGCCCAACTCGGCCCTCGCACTCGAGGCGAGGCTCGCCAAGCCGGGCTACGAGGGCGTCGAGGTGATGTACAACTCCGAGGGCCAGGTGACGGGCGCCACGCTCAATGCCCTGGTGGGCAAGATGACGCCGCACGGGTCCACCGTCGACGCCACCGTCTCGGGCGCCTTTTTCCTCTGCTTCCGCCTCTTTACATCGCCGGGCGAGCTGCTCGAGGCGCTGGTCACCCGGTTCGACCTGCAGCCCTCGGACGACGTCAAGGCCAACGAGGCCGACCTGGCCAACTGGAGGGACCGCGTCCTGGTGCCCGTCCGGCTGCGCGTGCTCAACTTCCTCAAGAGCTGGCTCGAGAGCCACTGGCACCCGCCCACCGATCAGGCCATCCTGGAACGGCTGATCGCATTCACCCAGCAGGCCGGCACCGGCGCGCTGACGAAGCCCGCCCAGCGCCTCGAGGAGCTGGCGCGCAAGCGGCTCGCCACCAAGGCGTCCAAGGCCAACGTCCTCGTCGGCAACCAGCGTGGGCCGGGCAGCCTGCAGCGGATCATCTCGTCCGAGGGGCTCAAGAGCGGGTCGGCGGCGCTCGCCATGACCGATACGTCGCAGATGTACGCCCCGTCGGCGTTTGCGCGCGGCGGACCGGCGCCGCCGGCGTCGATTGTGTCCAAGGCGCTGCTGTCCAACCTGCGCTCCGACAACCTGCAGAAGGTCAACATCATGGACTTTGACCCGCTCGAGCTGGCGCGGCAGCTGACGATTGTCGACAGCAAGCTCTACTGCGCCATCCAGCCCGAGGAGCTGCTCGGCTCCAAGTTCACCAAGGAGACGCTGGCGGCCGCCGGCGGCGCCGGCGGCGACGACACCAACGTCAAGAGCATGAGCTCGATGAGCACGCGCATCACGGGCTGGGTGAGCGAGTGCATCCTGGGCGAGGCCGACGCGCGCAAGCGCACGCAGCTGGTCAAGTTCTTTATCAAGCTCGGCGACCGGTGCGAGGCGCTCAACAACTTCCACACGCTCATGGCCATCCAGTGCGCGCTCAACTCTTCGACGATTGCGCGGCTCAAGAAGACGTGGGACGGGCTGCCGCAAAAGTACCGCACCATGATGGACCACCAACGGCGGTCGATTGAGCACACGCGCAACTACGCCGGCTACCGCGCCCGCCTGCGCTCCACCGAGCCGCCGGCGGTGCCGTTCCTGGGCCTGTTCCTCACCGACCTCACCTTCTGCTACGAGGGCAACGCGCCGACGCGGCCGTGCCCGGCGGCGCCCGACAAGAAGCTGCTCAACTTTGACAAATACGTCAAGATCAGCCGCATCATCAACGAGATGCAGCGCTTCCAGGCGCCCTTTAACCTGGTCGAGGTGCCCGAGATCCAGAGCTACCTGCGCACCGCGCTCAACGACGTCACGTCCGGCAGCGGCGGGCTGGGAGCCGACGACCTCTACCGCCGCAGCCTGCTGCTGGAGCCGAGGGGCGGCGGTACGGCCTCGACGTCGGGCCCGAACGGCGCCAACCCCACCCCGGCGTCGATTGCGATGCGCAACAACGGCGGCGACGGCAAGACGGGGCTCGACATCTTCAACTGGAGGACCGAAAAGGCCTAGCGGGCGGAGATGCCTCGCCTCCCACCGCTTTCGCTCCCCGGTCGCGCAGCAGCCTTTGGATCCGACCCGCCCCGCTCAGGTCCCAAGGGGATCGTCGTGCCGCTCTTCTGCGCTCTCTCCTTCTCTTGCCCTTTCTCTCTCCCCGTCGCTCACTCACTACTACTGTCTGCGTGTCTCGTTCACGCGCCTTGCCGCTCTGTGGTACCGCGCCCCGATCTGCGCTTCCTCGCATCTGTATTCTCGCTCGTTCACTCGCTCGCTCTCTTGCATAGTCATGGGTCTTGCTATCGTCCGTCGGTTCGCCACCGCTCGCCCGCGCCAGGTGGCTCGCATTGCCCTCCCACGCTTCCGAGACCGAGGGTCAGCTCCATCCATGCCGCGGCCTCGTTCCGGGGCCATCGGCATGGAACGCTCCTTGTGCCGATGAATGGCGGCTGCACTTTCCCCATCGCCTGGGCATGCCGTCGAAGGTGTCTTTGCCGTCGACCAGCGAGGTCATGCGTGGAAGGCGGGGAGAGCGGCGGTGTCCGTCGACGACGGCGGAAGGATGCCGAGAGGGAGATTTTGGCTGGCTGGCTGGCTCCCGGCCTCCCCGGTCGGCCGCAAATCGGGCCAGGGGCAAGCGGGATGAAGCGGTGCGGAAACATCCGTCGGGCCCTCCGGCCCCCCCATCTCGGCCACGGCCCAGACCCGCTCAGGTTGGCCGGCGTCGCCGTCGTCTGTCGCAGGGCGAGATACAGCAGGCCGGATGTTCCGCTCTGGAATGGGAGCCATACGCCGCCACGTCTCATCCGGCCCTTCTGTCGAGCTCGTCTGGTCTTGGTGGGAAGGAAGGCAGCATCGGACCAGCTGGCTGCTGAGCCAGGACGGAGGACGATCGGGGCGGGGGGGCGGCCAGCTTTGTGGCCAGCCAGGTCAGGCCAGGCTCGGCCCTGCCTGCTGGCCACCGCTGGGTTGGACCCGATTCGACCGGGCCCGTTGGATTCAATTCTTCTCTCTGTTTTGCCGCGGCGGAGTTTTGTATTGGCCGAGGGGGCAAGTTTAGGCCTGGCGGGCATCGTTTGAAATGGGCCGGCCGCGTGCCAGAGAACCCTTTCGAGGGGCGAGTTGATCGCAGCGCCGGATCGCACGGCTGGAAGACCCGTCGCTTCCGCCCCAAGCCCACGCAGGGCCAGGGCCAAGGGCCAGGCCAGGCGAGGGCGAAAACCGCGAGCCACTCCACCTGCCTCAGCGACTCGAAACGGCCGCCGCTCCTCCCAGCACACCCTACCCTACGCCGCCCTTTCCTTCGCCTTTTGCCTTTACTCACCTCTCCATCTCTCCACCTCCTCCATCCACGACGCACGACGACGCCGCCGCAGACGACGACGAAGTCAACGAAGACACGCAATGCTTCCACGAACGGCGCAGTCCAGCCTGCGGTCCGCCGCTAGGATCGCCAGGTCCTCCACAACGTCGGCCTCGCTCGCCCGCAGGTCGCTCTCCACAACGTCGGCCGCCGTCTCGCGCGCGCCCTCTTCGTCCAGGTCCGCCTTCCTCCCGGCGAAATGCGCACTCGATGCTCGGTGAGTTGCGCGTCGAGGGCTCGCACGCCGGATCGCTAGCCTTGCCTTGTGGAAGTCGTGTCTGACGCCTCGATTCGCCCCTCCTGGCCTACTTCTTTGTCTGCCCCTCCCTCTTTGCAGCCTCTTCTCGTCCTCTGCCCTCCGCAGGGAAATCGTCAAGGTCCCTCAGATGGCCGAGTCGATCACCGAGGGCACCCTCAAGCAGTGGAACAAGAAGGTCGGCGACTTTGTCAAGGCCGACGAGGAGGTCGCCACCATCGAGACCGACAAGGTGAGTGCGCCCCACCTTGGGCATCCTCACAGCAACTCGCGAGTACAGCGCTGATGCCGGTCTTGCTACCCCACCCTCTTCCCTTGTCCCCGCAGATCGACGTCTCGGTCAACGCTCCCCAGTCTGGCACCATCGTAGAGGTCTTCGCTGAGGAGGAGGACACGGTTGAGGTCGGCAAGGACCTCTTCAAGCTGGAGCCGGGCGAGGCGCCCGCCGAGGGCTCGAGCGGTGGCGAGGAGAAGAAGTCCGAGGAGCCCAAGAAGTCCGAAGAGCCCAAGAAGGAGGAGCAGCCCAAGAAGGACGAGGCGCCCAAGAAGGACGACGAGTCGAAGCCCGCCAAGAAGGACGAGCCCAAGCCTACGCCGTCCAAGAGCCCCGAAGAGAAGCCCTCGCCCGCTTCGTCGTCCAAGCCCGGCTCGCCGCCCGGCTCGGGATCGTCGAGCGGCAGCAGCAGCAGCAGCAGCAGCAGCAAGGGCAGCAAGGGCAGCAGCAGCTCGCAGCCGCCCAAGCCCGCCACGCCCGGCTCGCGCGAGGAGTCGCGGGTCAAGATGAGCCGGATGCGCCTGCGCATCGCCGAGAGGCTCAAGCAGTCGCAGAACACGGCGGCCTCGCTGACGACGTTCAACGAGATCGACATGTCGGCGCTGATGGCCTTCCGCGGCCGCCACAAGGACCGCATCCTCAAGGAAAAGGGCGTCAAGCTGGGCTTCATGGGCGCGTTTGCCAAGGCGAGCGCCATGGCGCTCAAGGACATCCCCGCCGCCAACGCCAGCATCGAGGGCGAGGGCCTGGGCGACACGATCGTCTACCGCGACTACGTCGACCTCAGCGTCGCCGTGAGCACCGACAAGGGACTGGTGACGCCCGTCGTGCGCAACGTCGAGTCGATGAGCATGGTCGAGATTGAGCAGGCCATCGCCGACCTGGGCAAGAAGGCGCGCGACAACAAGCTCACCCTCGAGGACATGACCGGCGGCACCTTTACCATTTCCAACGGCGGCGTCTTTGGCTCGCTGTTTGGCACGCCCATCCTCAACCTGCCCGGCTCGGCCATCCTCGGCATGCACGCCATCAAGGAAAAGGCGTGGGTCGTCGACGGCAAGGTCGAGATCCGACCCATCATGGTCGTCGCCCTCACCTACGACCACCGGCTGCTCGACGGGCGCGAGGCCGTCACGTTCCTCGTCAAGCTCAAGCAGTACCTCGAGGACATGCCCAGCATGCTCCTCTAGGCGGCTGGCGGCGCGAGGATCGGGGCGCCGACGGAGCGCGACCGAAAGGGGCCGAGCGGTGGGAGCGCAGGCGTCGGTGCGCGGGATCGACAGAGCGTCGGCCGAAACCAGCCGTCCGCCGCCTCCGCCGTTGCCACCTTGTGTACATATCCTTTGCCGCCCTTCTCTCCTCTCGGCCTCCTTTCGCCCACGCATGTAGATTGAACCAGTGCTTCAGAGTAGTCGGACGTGCCCGAATCCATCTCCGAAGCGTAGTGCGCCCCAAGTCGCCGTGATTGCGATTGCGATTACACGCTGGGTGGGCCCGCCGTGGTGTTGCCATGGTGCAACTGTGCGGCCCGGCGTGCCGCAACAGCGTGCCGTCGCCACGGTGGGCAAGATTGGCATGCAACGTGGCTGACAATGAAACGGCGAGGTCGCAGAAGTGTGTATCAAATAAAGGGCCGCCGATACGCCTCGCTGCGTGAACCTGTCACACGGCAGCAGCCCACCTGACGCGGCGTACGTCTGCGTTCATACATATGGCTGAGCAGGGACAACAGGCCGGGAGCGCATGCTATGCGTGTACGCCGCCGCCGTACAGAGGGGCTTGCTTGGCGAGGAGGGAGTACAAAGTGACACTACTACATACTACTACTGTGCCTTGGCTGGCCTGGCCCCATTGGTGCAGACCGACGACGGTCCACCGTGACGCTAGCCTTCACGTGGCTGACAGGCCAAGCTGGGGGGCTGACAGAGAGCTGGAAGGAGATCGAGGAAGGTGGGGCGCCCTTCGGAGAGTCTCCGGCTGGCGGTGCGGGTGTGATGGGTGACCCGAAAGAGGGCGACTGCAAACGCCGCTCGGCTGCGCCTGGCGGGCTGGCGGGCTGGCGAGGCGGCCTGGCCTCCACGAACGACCGACCGACCGGCCAAGCAAGGCGATCTCTCGCTCGCTGTCGTTCCTCCTTCGCTCGACCACAATCGCCACGACTGCCACGACTGCCACCTGCCACTGCCACTGCCAGGTCACCGCCACTGCCACCGCCACTGCCACCACCCCCGCCAGCATCCATAGCGTCCTGCCGTCACACCTGCAACCTGCTACTTTATACCCGACCATGCTCCCCTGACACGCACCCCGTCCTCAACTCCGTTTGCTTTCTTCTCGCTGCTTCATTTCCGCCTTCCATATCCACAAGAGAGGATGCATTCCCACCGCACTTAGCTTATGCCTATGCCGACCTAGAAGCGCATAAGCTAGCAGCCCAGTCGCCACCGCTAGCTTCGACATTCCCCTTCGCTACCTGGCGACAGCTGCTCCCCATCCACCCGCTCCGCATCGCCGTCGAACCCATCCTCGCCTTCGCCCTCGACGATGGCCGTCTCGCCGCTGGCTCGGCAACGGCCCGGGCCCTCTCCGTCCGGATGGGAAGTCGAGGTACAGAGCCAGGGCATCCGTAGTCCTCGGAACCAACAGCCCTTTCGCGATCAGCAGCAGCAATCACAGCAGCAGCAGCAGCATCAGCAGCCACCGCCGCAGCAACCACAGCGCCTCTCTTCGTACCTCTCGGCCAACGAAGAATGCATCTCTTCGACCCCCGTGCGATCGCCCAGTCAGCTATCGGCCCGAAGCAAGAGCCCCTTTGACATGCGCAGCAAGGCACACCCACAGGAGAGCTCATCCACAGACAGCAGCGCAGACAGCACCCAGCCCCGCTCCGGCGGCCTCACTGCAGCCTGGACGAGGTTCAAGGCGAGGAACAAGTCCACCTCGCCCTCCAACCCTTCGTCTGCGCCGCCGGCGACGACGTCCTACGCACACCTCGTGGACGAACGTCATCCTTTTCCCGCTCGTCCAGAGGAAGAGGCTCATCGCTCCCCGGGAGGCGACGCCCTTTTGGCTCGCTCCGCAGCCGCCGCTAAGCCGTCGTCCCGCCCTTCTTCGCGGGACAAGCAGCCGTACCCGCCGCCAGCCGCCTCGACCGGCACCAGCGGGTCCTTCTTCCGCGGCCGTACACCCAGCCTTCGCCGCAGAAACAGCTCTGGCAAGGCCCTGTCGCTCGTCTCCAGAGAGCCCGCAGAAGCGGATCGCGAGATCAACGCCAGCACGCCGGATCGTCAGCAGTTTTCCCCGTCCACCGCCCGCACCCTCCCGCCATCGGGTGCAAATCTTGCCAGCGCACAGCCACGGATGGGTGCCGACGTGGGTGAGCCAGCCCTGCCTGCCAACTCGCCCTCGAGCCTTTCTCGCTTCTTTGGGGCTCGGAAGAGGGCGACACCGACTTCCACATCTCTGGGCAAGGTCGCCTTGCGACCGTCGCTCGACGCCACGGCCGCGCTCTCCGCCTCGCCGTCCTCGCCACCCCTCGCCATCATCTCGAGCGAATGGCGAGCACCAAGCCCGGTTGCCCCCGGCCAGGGCTCCGCCGCACAGTCCAGCAGGTTGCAGTCGGTAGACAGGCTGGAGCAACCGGGCTCAACCGCTTCACAGGCTAGCCGGAAGGGTGCCCTCGATCGCGTCTTTTCGTTTCCCGGGCGTCCCTCGCTCACAGAGGAGCGGACAGAGGCAGCAGTCCCCACACCTGCAGGGCGACGCACTACGCCATCGACGTCGACGACGGCAAGGTCGCGGCACAGCCCTGCCCTGTCGGCTCCCCTTGACATGCTCGGCGGCGCACAGCGGCTGGCACAAGCGCAGAACGCAGACGATCCAATCGCCGACCCGGCCACCGCTTCGCATGCCCGGACGATGTCGAAGCCCTCGTTCTCCCACTCGCGGAGGAGCCGTAGTCTGAACAAGCTGGCTTCGTTCTTGACCGGATCCTCCTCCCCCCTCGATGCGAATGCGGGCGCTGACGGGTCGGAGCCGCACGATGCAGACAAGCGGGACCCGAAGACGTTTTCCCCTGCACGGCGAGGCAAGGCTACCGAACCGCGGCGTCCGTCGACGGCCGACATGCTCCACCGGGCGTCGGAGGCTTGGCCAAACGCAGAGTCGCCGCAAGGGCAGGCCAAGCCGCTCGCACGGAAACCGAGCCTGCGATCGCGGCTCCGGATGCCCAGGCTCAACAGCACCAGCCAGGTCGCCCGTCCCTCGACCCCGGAGATCGAAAGCTGGAAGCAAAAGGCCCAGGTGACGACGGAAGCGCGGCCGCAGCACGGCAGAAGGGCCAGCGTGGACGCAGCCACACAACTTCGTCAGGAAGCGCCGCCCGTCAAGATCACCCGTTCCCGCAGCATGGTTCGTCGCAAGCCGCCGCCGGAATTCAACCTGCAAGAGCTGACTTCAAGCTCGCCGCTCAGGACCTCGTCTGAGCGGCCTTGTATTCTGTCGCAAAAAGCGCACCCCGCTGCCGAAAGCAAGAACAGCGCTGAGCCCGATGATGCCGCCCTCGTCCCTTCAGCACCCACAACGTCGAGCTTGCCCGCGTCTGGGCCTCCGCCTACCGCAGTCGACGAGACCCGTGCTCTCGATGCTTCGTCGGCACCACTCGACGGCACGGTCAAGCCCTCTCCCGACCCTGCGCCTTCGCTGCAAGAAGCCACCGCGTCCGCCGCTTCAGCGGCGAGCGAAAGGACGGGTGCACCATCACCGCCCATGCCACAAGCGAAGAGCGCTGCAACGCACGAGGCGCCGGCCACAGGTGTCACCCGACCTGTGCTGGAAGCCACCCCACCGACGACCGCTTCCACCGGCTTACTGAGCGTATCCGAGCCTGGGAAAGCCCGCGTGGCCTCCTCAGCCAGCAGCCTCAAGCCTCCGAGCCTCGCCGATGTTTCCGCTGAGAGCGAGCGGCCGTGGTCTCTGATCAGCGCAGGAGAAGCGGACACGCCCCTGCTGAGGCTGCGCAAGCTGATCGTCGACACCAACAGCTCCGGCGAGTGCGATGACGAGGAAGACGGCTTGTTCTTCCGCCCGCTGCCGCGTTCCACCGACGAGCAGTCGCGCCTGGAGGGCCACGTTCGCGCCGGCTTCGACACGCGAGGTGCGGACGATGGCAACGTCGAGACGGTCGCCACTCCGAAGCACGAGCAGCATGCAAGGCATCACTCAATCGACCAGGTCAGTCGGCTCGACGACCGACTCGAGTCTCTCTCACTCAGGTCAGTCGTCCCCAGCGAGGAGGATGATGCCCTGGATGCCGGCCGCGGTGTGTCTCCCTCGACTTCTCGATCGGACCCCAGGCTCGAGGTCGCCTCAATCCACTCGTCTGTTCATTCGTCGGGCTCGAGCACTCTCAAGGCAGGCCGCTTCTTCGCACCTACGGGTCGCCCGACGGCTGTCGGCAAGCCCGAAGTGGCAACCTCGCAGCCCGGCCGTCCACCAGCGGTCAAAGCGCTGCCCAACGCCTCGAGGGACCAGCCGCAGGACCACTCGCAAGATCAGGAGGACCTGCTCGGGCCACTACCCAACAATCAAGTCAGCGGCGGGCGCACCAGCCTGACGCAACACCGGGGCAGCTCATCCACCACGATCGGCAGTGTGCAGAACGCGCGGAGGGAGAGCGTCGCCAGCCGCCACACGGTCTCCAGCGGCCACTTTAGCGAAGGTGTCCTGTCAGAAGACGCCCTGTCCGCTCTCGAGGCCGAGGTGGGCCAGGCGAGGCGGGCAGAGGTGATCGCCCTCGGCAAAGGTCGGGTCACTGACTGGGTCGGAGACAGCTCGCGCCTCGTCGCCCGTCACGAGGGTCCCACCTTGTCTCGCAGCGGCTCAATGAGGCGTGTTGGCAGTCAGGGCGCATCGAAAGGCCGGCTTGCCGATGGGCCGAAGCCTTTGGGACGTCGCGAGATGTCGAGGCAGGTCGAGATGAGCCACCAGCTCGGAGAGCGACTCCACCGCCTCGCGGTCGAGAGCGGGCAGCTGCCGGACGACGAGCGAGAGGAGAACGGCCCGCTCCGCGACATTCCAGACGAAGCTTCGAGCGATGGTGCTCATCGACCGGATTCAGGGCCGCAAGCAGTCGAACGCGCAAGCGCCGCACCAGCGGCCAAGCCCAATGCGGCCGTGAACGTGGCATCGCAGTCGGACGACCACGCTGCATTTGACTTCGCCACCATCGCCCGACAGCCGCACCAGACCAGGTTCGCCCGCCTGTCGGCGTTTCACGACCGCAAGCTGCCGCCCATCGCCACCGACGCGGCCGCTCGCCAGCCAGCGTCCTCGAGCACGATGCACGTCCAGGACGAAGCCATTCGGCTGGGCCGAGCCCCGTCAAAGAGGGTGAGACGCTTCGCCGGCGAGGCCAAGAGTCGTGGCGAGGCCGTCATGGTCGACCGCTCGCCATCAGCAAGGAGAGGTGGACATCGGCAGCAGAGCTCGACAAGCGAGGGTACCAAGGCTATGGCGCCCGAGGTCAGGACAGCAGAAGCGGCAGAGCCGAGAGCACAAGCGGGTGCAACAGTCGACGTCGAACGGCCGATCGAGCCTGTCGACATGGACGAGACGCCACGGAAGGTCTCCGGGCCCGCCGCCGTCATCGATCCGCGGCTGCTTTCGCTGTCGCACGGCACGCGCCGGTCGCGGAGCGAAGCGTCCGAGAGCACGCGGGCCAGCGACATCGGCGCATCGTCGGTCCCCATCTCGGCAGCAGCAACAGCTGCTGCTGCTGACACGACTTCGGCGTCAGCAACAGCGCCGACGGGTGCGGCATCGGAAGAGGTGCGCCGTTCCAAGGACAGCTCGAAGTCCAGCCGGTCGATCCACCGCGATGCGACGCGGACGGCGCCGCAGAACGACTCGCCGTCGGCACGACAGCTGCCGGCCAATCTGACGACCGAGGAGGCGATCCTGGCCAAGCAAAGGGAGCGGATCGAGCGCGAGAGGCGGCACCGGAGGCGCGAGGAGCGCAAGCAGCTCGAGCAGCAGCGGAGGTACGCGCTCAAGAAGAAGAGCGACCCGTTGCTCGCCACCCGGCTGGCACTCGTCGGTCTCCAACCTGGTAGCGAAGAGCTTCCATCGACCGCGAAGAGCCGCACCGCTCTACCGTGCGACGAGGGCCTCGCATCCCGCCCTCCTGTTTCCGCAGCCGACCTGGCATCCCGGCCTCGACACACCGCCGCTGACACCGACACGGCCTTTCTAGTGACTTCGCCGACGCGGCAGACGTTCTTGATGGGCCAGGAGCCCTCATCGAACGACCCGTATCTTGGCAAGCCAGCAGCACACGCTTCATCGGCGGCCGGATCGAGCAGCTACAGCTACGACCAGCCGCAGCACCCTCGCTACCTGTCTGCTCACACTTCGCGCCACGACTCTTTCGTGGGCTCGGTAATGAGCTTCCACACGGCCGAGTCTGGCTCGAGCGGTGGCGTCGACGAGGATGGCCACGATGTCGATCTCGTGGGCAACAGCGTGGACAGCGCCCAGACCACATCGACCAAGCCGCGAGACTCGGCAGGGGAGGCGACGGCGACGCAGCCGGCTCGGCCTCCGACATCGGCGTCGCTCAAGACGATGAACAGCATCGCGTCTAGCCTGACGGTGGACTTCGAGTTCCCAGTCCCGCCGCAGCGGCTGCGGGAACAGCTGAGCGACGACGGCACGCTCCTCAGTCGTGCTGGTCTGCGCGAGTCCCTTTGGGACTCGCCCTACGAGGCGCGCCTCCTCGGCGAGCAGATGCGGCACCCGCACTCGCACCCGCACGCACATGCCCACTCGCACTACCACTCCCCCTCGGACTCGCTGGGGCTGTGGACGGAAGCGGCGTCGTCGACGATGCCCACGACGGCAGCGAGCTGGGCGGCGGGCCCTTCGCCGCGCAGCCAGCACGCAGCGGCTCCTTGTTCCTCGTCGTCGGCGACGAGGGGTGGCAAAGAGGTGGCGCTTCGACGAGCCAAATCGGTCGGGTACCACGATCCGCGGCTGTCGCCCACGGCTACCGAGGTGCCTGGCCGGTCTGGCGTTGGGTCGAGGTATGCCGGCGGCTCCTCGGAGGGTCTAGGCATCCGCAGCGTCGGCCTTGTCGACGAGCGGCCGTTGCCATCTGCCTAGAAGCCACGATCTGTGCTCGTCCATCGACGCGCCACAACAGAGCACCAGCTACTGCTGCCCCTAGACTTCCTGCAGCTGCTCTATCTGGCACTGCACTGGCCAGTCTGCCACCGTGCACTCCTGTATTTCTAGAAGTGGTGCTCGCGATCAACCTAGATGCTTCCACACCTCGTCGGTGGCGGTACACAGACGGACATCAAGGTTGCAACGGCGACTGTGCTGTCACCTGCTTCGCTGGCACGTTTGGGCTGGGCTAGAAGACAAGAGAGGAGGTGCGATGTGCGCCTACCCCGAACGCGCGTTCGGTGGCGAGCGGTCCGCTGCACGGCGTGTGCGGGGCGCGGTCGGCGGCGGAGACGTACGCGTCTGCCCCGCACTCGGTCGGTGCTGCGGTGAGCCGCGTCTGCATGCAGGCCTGGCGCGCTGGCAGGCCCCCCC